TGATGATAATCCTGATGGTAATCCTAATGGTAGTCCTGATGATAATCCTGATGGTAATCCTAATTGTAGTCCTGATGATAATCCTGGTGATGATAAACTATGTGTTTGTGGCTCTTGTTCCATTCTATTTAAATGTTGTTCTTCAGCTTGTAATAAACCTCTATATGTTGATAATTCAAAACGAAGTGAAACATTATTTTCTAAAATAGCATCAATAAGATCTTTTTTATCAGCAGTTTGTTCTCGAATTAATGCAAGTTCTCTATCAATAGATTCTTTTTCACGTAATCGTTCATTTTGAATTTTTTCTAAATCATCAATAATAGCATCAAATTGTATTTGTAAATCTCTATTTTCTTTTTGTAATGATATTAATTCATTTTGACCATCACGTAATGATGATGTTAAATGTGCTGTATCCATTACGTCAATAGTACTTTCATTTGCTAATAAACGTTTACGTTCATTTTCTGTTTCAATTTCTTCACGTACTTGTTCAGTTTTTATTTTATAATATGCTTCTAATTCATTTGTTTGTGATTGAGAAAGTACTTCAAAATCTCGTCGTATATCAGATATAGCATGAGCTAATTCTGCACGATAAAATGCTGATAGATCAAGGGTAGGTGTATCTGTATAAATAAATAAAAATAATATATATATATGTATTTTTAAATAATGAAATTCTTACTAAGAGAAAGTAATTCTTCTCGTTGTTCTTTATAAACAGCATTTTGAAAAGCAAGATCTTCGTTTAATGTTTGTAATTCATTTTCAATCATAAGACGTTCTAATTGTTCATTATCTAATTCATTTTTTAATCCATCTACTTCTTTAACAAGACCATCCATAAGATTTTTTAGATTTTCTAAATCATTAAAAGTTTTATCATATAGATTTTTTAGTTGTTCAAAACCAATATATGATGCTTCTAATTCTTGTTTAAGTATATTTAATTTATGTGAATCAAAACCACTATCAAGTGATGCTATTTGTTCTTGAATATGCCATATATCATAATCATATCGTTTTAATTGAAGTTCTTGAAGAGCTTGATCACGTATAGTTTTATCAAGTTCAATACGAAGTGCTTGTAATTGTGGACCATAAGTAACTTGTAATTGACTCATATCACCACCCCATTCTTGTTTTAAATCATGTAAATCAGCAGATAATCGTTGATTATAATCTTCTAAATATTGAACACGATCCAAATAAACAGCAAATTTAGCATTTAAATCTTGTAATTCACGTTGTTCATCTTCACGTTGTTTAGCTATAGCTGTTATAGCAGCACTAGTTGACGAAGAAGTATTTGCTATATTACCATCACCTACTGGTCGTAAACCACGTTCGACTAATGTTCGACGAATTAATGTTGAATCATCAGATGGTTGTGGTTTTGGAGATAAATTTCCATATGGATTATTATTTCGAATTTCATTTCTTTCAGTACCACCCCTATTACTACGATTAATGATATTTTCTCGATTTGTACTGCTCATTATTTAAATTATTTTTGGTACCGACTAACTCTAATTTATACAAATGTAATATTATACTTTTACAAGAAACAGACAACTAATATTGTTGATGATAATGTAGTTTTTATACAGGCAATTATGTGTGAAGAAAAAAAATAAAGAAAAAAAAAATCAATGATAATATGTCTCTTGAATATATATATATATTTTTTTTTGCGGCGTACGAGTACGTATACCGCTGCTCTTGTATAGCAGTTATTATTGTAATCAGCTGAAATATCTTCCTTCTTCTTATTCTCTATCTATCTTTTTTTCTTTTTCTGCCTGACTGTATATAGTGATAGTCTTGTCCAATCGATAAGTTACGACTTTGAAATGCAAACGAGCGTGCAAGAACACTTACACAGTGATATGGTTTATTTTTTTTTTTTTTATCATATATCTTTTTCTCCCGACACATACACAGTCATGCATCAATGATCTTTTCCTTTCATTATATCCATTTTTTTTTATGCTAGATACTTCATTAAAAAGATAGAAAAAAAAAACTTGACTATTCTCATACCAAATACAAAGACCTTATTCATTCTGATTTTATCACTTGAAAAGTGATTAATGTAATAGTGGTAGATGAGGCAAATGTTTATTAACAGTCTTGTTCAAGAAAAAAAAAAAAAAAACTAAAGTACGAGAGTTACAGAAATGTTTTAATTAACTTTAATATGTATTCAATTAGTTATTAAAGTTTAGTTATCTATTACAAGGTTGACAAAAAATAAATAAAGATGTCTTGATATAAAGGTAGCACTGATTGATTATTTTAGATATCAACTTACTATCACTAGTTAACGGTACGATTAAAGGTTAGACTGCATTTATATTCTGATAGAAAGAAAAATAATAAATGCTGTGAAAATCCACTTACTATCTTAAATGTCATTTGTATTATTCGATGTTTATTTATTTTTTATTGTTAATTAAAACAATCATTCATGGGAATATGACATTTATTATGGTAATATTCATATTTGTAATGTATGGCCTAGAATAAAATGGCTACTTTTGTTCTTTGCTTTTGAGATACTATCCAAAGAACCCAAAGAGTTGATTCAATAGAGAATTCATTGTTCTATAAAACTGTAGGCTTTGTTTTTTTCAAAACAAAAATTTTCTTGTCAGCACAAAAATTTTTGAAGTAAAAAATATGACAATATGGAAAAAAATCTTTTTTGGGCAGATTTTTGTTATTGAACTTTTTTTTGTTTGAAATAATCTAAGTATTCACTGTTTAACTTAACAGTCACACGATTTTGTTTAGATTTGAATACGACATTCGATGGCATGAAAATAAACGTTTCATAGAACAAGTCTAGCTTTGGAAAAACATGATTTTTCGAAATGCATCCAAAAATACCATCAGGTATTATTTCCAAGTTTTTTTTCTCTGAACGATAGAACCAGAAATTTTGAAAAGGTTGTGAAAGTATAGAGCACAAAATTCTTTATCTATTGATGTTAAACACTTTATTTTTAACATCGAACTTAATGAGCATAGGCTTACAAAAATCGATCAATGTTTGCAAAAAAAAAGCAGGAGATCGCAGTGGGATGATTAAGTAGGTGTTAACCTTTTAATTTTTGCACCGACAAGAAAATTTTGTTTGAAAAACAAAAGCCAACAGTTTTGTAAAGTAATAAATTCTCTATCGAATGAATTTACAATCAACTATTTAGGCATGCCATGTCAGCATTTATCTAGATATTCTTTAAATTATGAATATGATTTATTTAAGAATTTCGAATACGGAAATTTGATCATAAAGTTTATTAGTTATTGTTCTGTAAATTTAATCTAATTTGATATAGAAAACTCTATGAAGGTTAAATAGTAATTCATAAATTTCTACAAACAAAGAATCAGCTATTGTAATCTTGTTTCTATCTATGGATAAAAATCAGTACAAAGTAACTGTAATTTAGATGATTATCATATTTAACGTCTGACCAATTGTTGATCTTAATTGTTCTGCTATAATTTTCTCTTTAGTTCTTACATCACTAAACAACTAATCTATAACATTCATGATAACAGTCATTTAGAGTCGAAAATAATAGAATGAATTAGAGTGAAAACAAACAAATATAAATTGGAATTTGTGTACTTTGTAAAAATGTGGTTTCAGTATTGATATGATGTATGGTTCATCTATTATCGAAATACTCTATGTTCTATATTCTTCTTGAAGAAATGTCTACTCAAAGATTAACTAATCTCTATATTGAATTTTTCATATATTGAACTTAATTCAAATGAAAATATGAGTTTTATGTTTAGTATTAGTTGTCACATGTTCGTATTGGAAGAAAAAAAAATCATTAATTGAATAAGAAAATAGTGTTAACTTAAGGGTACCCTCCCTTCCTCCTTTCCAGAATTTCTTGAGAACGGCTCATCAAAACAATTTGAAATTTTCAGGACAGATAGATCTTGATGAGTATAGTGGAAGTTGTCATAGACTCAAAATTTCCTGATGTTGTCTTCTATGAGATAATAGGGTCACAATGGCGAAAAACGACCCTAGTTGACGACCCCGTTTCTCTAAAACGGTATTTTCGATTGAGCTGAAAATTGTTTTACAGATACTAGACACTGTTCGATGTGGTTTGATTTTTTGGTTTGATTTTATCTTTTATTGTTTCAACACAAAAAGTCAAAATGTCAAGCCTACCCTAAAAGACGCTTGTTTCTATTATTAGAACAAATGTTGTGAAAGCTGCCAAAAATCACGAGAACAATATTTATTGAAAAGAAAAAAAGAATACGCACCCCAAATAATGAGTAGAATATGTGAAAAAAGTTTCAGTTGGATCCATCTTACCATATCAGAGAAATGGAGATGAGACAGTACTTTTTCTGCTAAAAATTTGATTTTGAGAAAAAAGCAAAAAAAAAAAATATAAAATTTTAGCTATTTTCACTATATAAATTTAATTTCTCCTCGAATTTTTTAATCTTTAAAGGCAATTGTTGAGTTCCAAAATATAGTCAGTAGATAGACACTACTTGAAACTATACAATGGACACAAAAAACTAAAAATGAAAAAAAAAAACAAAAATTTTAGGGAAGGAAAGAGGGACGTACTCTTATAAAGTAAAACAAAATATCAGCACTAGAATTGATCATGAAAAAAAAAATCAAGCAAAATTGAAACAACAAATTATTTGCTAATCGATCTTTGTTTGCGATCACAATTGTCAAGTATCATTATATCGAGATATAAATTATCAAGAAAAAGACAATAATGTTTTATGATTACTAATGCAAAAAAGAACGTCAAATCAAGGTAAAGTTATTGATCAAATTTCTGTTTTGAAAAATTATCTTAATTACACATTGAATATATTATTTATTTTATATCGCCATTTATTGACATGTGACATGTATTATTTATAAATAGAAATCTATCTATATCTTAATATTATCAAACAATACTTGATCAACATAACATTTTGTTTTGTTTAAATTATTATTTTATTTCTGTTTATTCTATAACACAAATATTGTCAATAGTCAATATGTATTTTATTTCTATCATACATATAAGTTATTCAATGTGACGTTTTGTTTATGTCACAATTATTTCGATCACCCCACGTGGATTGTATATTGATAGCTACATATCGAATAGCGATGATTACCTGTCTTTCATATTCATTTTTTTTTTTATACAAAAGGTATATTGCGTGTATCTGTGTGCATCAAATTGGCGTATTAAGTGCAAAACAAAAATGCCTGCATGTAAGTTTAACAAACAAAATCCAGAATTTAATTGTGTTCTAAATGCGATAGCAGATGCTAAAAGTTTCTCTATCAAATAAAAATTATCTAAATTTGAATATTATTGTCTGATATTTTTACTATAAACAGTGCTCGATAAGCTTTGATCACAAGCACCAATAAGAAGTCGATCTGTGTTAATGCATTGAGTTAAAAATAGAAACACTGACTTTTGTTTTTATTCATCATTATTTTTAAGTGTTAATATCGATCCTTTTATCGATAATGAAAACTTCACATGGTTTTACTATGTCACAGATAGGAGATTTTAATTCGTTGTGATCTAGAGACGTAGTGATGTTTATATTATGAGAAACGATCTTCGCATAGATTTTCGTTTTATTAATGACTGTAATCATGAGATTTTCAGAAAATACTTGGTTGGAGCAAAGAATTCACTGAAGAAAATTTCACAGCTAACGATTGAAAATTGTCGAAATAATAGATTACTTTTTGACGAATCTCATCAACTCTCATGCTGAGACTATCCTAAGATAATTTCATAAATCAGATGGATTATAATAATTTGACATGTAATTTTCATCGGTAATGAAGACAACAATGAGTTCTGTCATGATGAGTCGAACACTATGAGATTCACTGCTAATGTTGAAATATTCTCATCTAAAGAAAAAAAAAAATCTATGTTAACTTTCTAGCTTGTACGCATGAAGGCTGATCAGGATCGTTGTGTTCTTTTTTGTATCTTAAAATATGAGACCGAAGGATTCACGTTCAGATTATTTTGATCTTGTAGTGAGACTTTCGATAGCTACTGTGTATATTTTTTTTAAATTTTATATTCTTTTTTAGTAATTAAATGTTGTCAATCATGTTTACATAAAATCAGTTCAAAAACTTCTCGTGTATCTATCATGTTTGTTCTTACGATTGTAACGGCTACTTTTGAAATAATTTATGGTATTCGTGCACGTTCGAATTCTTTAATAGCTGATGGATTATATTCATTTGCTGAAGGTATTTGTTTAATTGGTGTTATATTAGTTCTTCATTATTCACGTCAGGTAAAGCATCATGAAAAAAAGAATACATTTGGTTATGAACGATTAGAATTATTATTTGGTCTTTCACAAGAAGTATTTCTTTTATCAATATCATTGGGTGTTATAGTTGATGCTATTAATCATTTAGTTAATCCTATTCATATACATGATCCAAAATTATTAATTTATCTTGGTGCAGGTGGTATAGTTATTGGCATACTTGGAGTAATTATGTTTGGGGGTTATCATCATGATCATAATATCGAAAAAGAAATACATGACAAGAAAAAAGGGGAATTTTTATCAATGACAAAAAAAAAAAAAGATAAAACTCCTAAGGTATCCCGTCAAAATACAATTACTGAATCTTCAGTAATGATTGAACAACAAAACGATCAATTAAACCAAACTAGTAGTACTGAAATGAAACCGCTAAATGCTCCGCAAGAAATATCGATTCTCGATACTTTCACCTATGAAAATATTGATCTAGCAGATTCAAGAATATATGCTACTTTACATGCTCTATGTTTACATTCATGGGAAAGTTTTATTTTTTTTTCGATAAAAAGAAACAAAAAAAAATTTATTTTTATTTGATTTTTTTATTATTATTTAGGTTGTTTTATTTGAATCTGTCATTGTTGTTATGTCTGGTTTGACGATTCACTTTGTTCCACATATAGATCCAGTTACAGGAAAAGAAATCAATACTTGGTTAAAATATATTGATCCAATATTAACACTTATAATGGTTGTTGTTATTGCTGTTCATGCAATTCCTGTTATATTTTCTATAAGTACAGTATTAATTGAAAATGTTCCACGTGGTATTAATACCCAAGATGTAATGAAAGAAATTGTTGCAGCTGTACCAGCAATTAAAAGTATACATAGTTTTCATATTTGGAGGGAAGAAAAAAAATAGAACTATTTTTTTTAAGAAAACAACAAATTTGTTTTTAATTATTTTAGAGCAACACCTAAAGAAATTTATGCAACATTACATCTTATATGTGATGAAGATGTTATGTTAAGTACATGTACAAATAGATATGGTAAAGAAATACAAAATATTCTCAAAAGTTACTGTGTTCGATATTTTACATTACAATTTGAATATGTACAACCACGTCAATCAGAAGAATTAGTTGTTTATAATTGTGCTTATGAACTTTTAAGAAAACGTCGTGGTCATACACTTGATGATCCTATGACAAAATCAGCCAAAAATGCAATAACTCATATTTAATAGTGATTAGAAATATTGAATTTTTTGAAATATATAAGAACAAGAAACGATAAAGAAACATATATATATAATTCTACTAAGGTTTTTTTCTTTTATTGTAAAGAGTTAGAAATCATATTTTCATATGATGAGAATCATTTAAAATAAAACATAAAAATACCTCTACATAGATAATATCAAGTTTGAATTAAACATATCCAGTTTAATTGCTTATTGATGCATACAAAGAATTGATAAAAAAAAACACGTCGAAATATGTAACGGTTCATATGAAACAGGAATTCATTTAAAATAAATCTCATCTCATACAATAATCATCACACAAAACTTATATCATGTAGAATATGTTCGATCAAATGGAAGAAAGCTCTATGACGATAAGCTAAACAAATTCAACGAATACTGTCTATGCTAATTTGATCAAACCGATGTAACTCCCCCTGTTATCCACAAAAGAAGATCTCGGGGGTCTTCTATTATGTCTCGTTCATTTCTATAATTTTTAATTACAAGGGTTTTTCAGAAAACCAAAACACTTTTGAGGATTTTAAAAGTCTAGAAATAATGCCGACCTGAACTTTTAAGATTTTCAGCTCAAAACCCTGAAAATTAGGCATATATTGTAATTAACGTTTCAATTTTTGGAGTAATTAATTAATTAATTAAAGAGGGAAGTTGTTACCTCCGGCGCATCGTTCTTTCAAGGGAGTCTTCTATTGCCGAGGAAATTAGATGAAAACATATCTGTGAACATTTAGCTAGTTTCTTGTTCGAAGAGAGAACAGAATCTGTATATCATGCGACTTTGTTACCTATTCACAAATAACTTTTAATTAATTTCATCAAAAGAAAATTGGTTTTTCTTCCGATACGTGGCGTTAGAAGTTAAGTATTTGACACTGTTACTATGACTGCTCGAAAACTAAAACAAATAGAAACTTGACTCTCTTATATGGAAGTGAATGACCATCTTTAGACTAAATTATGCGAATCAATGGAGTAGGCCTCGACTTATAGGCATTTTTCTTTTCGAGACACAACAATACAGTGACTATGCTCTTCACGCATATATGTTTCGGTATTGATTAGAAGAATTGAATCGATATGAATAAGTTGTCGTTTGATATTAAATTTTTCAAGCTTCATTATGTCATTAAATGTTTAGATGTGTGTATGTTTTATTTTAATAAACATGTAACACTAGTTTATGTTTGTTGCTTTTTTTGATATAAGGAAGACGATGTTGTATCTGTCAGAATAGAGAAAAAGACAAAAGCTTATTTCAATACGTCAATAACCGTAACAACAAGCCATTGCTCATCTAATTCATTTATTTTTTCAAGATTTATTATTAGTAAATATTTTAAAATATTAGAAATTCTATATACAATTGTTTAATAAACTCAAGTTACGATCTATTTTCAAACATGAATAAATTAGTGAGTAGACAAAATAGGCACTGATCATTTTATTACTGTTATAGACTTGTTCTTTACTATGAAGATGGTATTTCAAATAGTTAATTTATCTTTGATTTAAAATTCCTTAGATTGTTTTTGGAATTTATAGAAATAGTATTTTTATATTAAAGAAAAACATTCGATTCAAAAATGGGCGAAGAAACGATTCACTACTTAGATAAAAAAAATTTTAATTATCAGCTGAATTTTGTTTAATTATTTGTAGACTAAGCCATGATTGTAGTAATTATTTTTCATTGAACATAGTTCTACAATTTGAAGTTAATTAAATAAGTTATTCATTCTGGTATAATAATTTACAAATTTCCCCCTGGCGTTTTAAATGACTATAAAATTAAACATTTCAAGCAATGAATAATACTCATTAATATGAAATATATATGCTAAATATATATATTATATCGTTTGATATTTTACCTTGATATGATTTGATATTTGATATTTTTCCTATTTTCTGTATCCTGACAAGGTATCAAAAAATATTTCTTTTCTTAAAAATATTTTATCAACATATTCAAACTCTTATCATATTCAAATTCAAAATTATTTTCTGTTTAATCAAAATTTTTCTTTATTACAAAATAATATTAATTATACACATTCCTAATTAATATTTCTTTTTATAGTAATATTCGTAACAATAAAATGCAGACAAAAAAAAATATATATATATATATACTTTTTAGTCATAATTAGACCATTTGTTTTGCTTGCCAAGGTGGAACGTTAGTATGTTTATTTTGTGCGTCATAATTGTCGACCCCTTACATACTGATACGTTCGACTTTTCGTACTCTATTTTTTTTTCTTTCATCATCTTTCATACTTTTATAGCTGATCCTATGAACTACTATATTTGATGTCTGAACAAATAAATCACCTATTTTAGTTTATTTTTTCTTTTCACATAATATTCACCTGTTTTTTCATTGTGCTTATCCAATGTCACGAAATTATATTGATTTTTGAGACTCTCAAGGGCACAACAAATATATGTATGAGCAACAATATTGGTCGATGTTCCAGCTGAATGATTGTATGTCTTTCTCTCTTACATACAAGTATTCAATTATGTATATGGCCTTTTTCTAACAGCACAGTTACCAATCTATAATTTTTTTTGAGAACGAATACAACACAAGAACAACATTTATTACACGTTTAATTGTGTGCATAATATAAGAAATAATATATATATAATGGCTAGTTTAGGGTTTGGTAATCCATTACTAGGAGATGTTATGGGTAATGATTCAGCAATTACCGTCGTAGTACCTTGGACACAACAATTTGGCATGGCCTATCAACAATTCATTGGTAGTAGTTTCGGTGGTCTTGGTGGTCCCGGCGGTCTTAGTGGTCTCGGCGGTCTGGGGGGTCTTGGAGGTCTGGGAGGTCTTGGTGGTCATGGCGGCTATGGTGGATTAGGTGGCCATGGTGGTCTTGGTGGCTTTGGCGGTGCTGGTGGCTATGGTGGATTAGGTGGCCAACCATTCGGATTTGGTATGACAACCTCCTATTCATCAAACTACAACTAGCTTTATGTTAATAACAACGTATGAACGTTATTTTCATTTTTTTAAATGAGAAAAACAGACTTCTTTACACCAACTGTGTAGTATTTCTTTTATTAATTTTTTTTTATTCGCATACTAGTAATAATATTATAATAAAAGATTTATCTACGCTTTAGTTTACGATTGTTGATTGAGTAGGAAATTAAATTTCGAGTATCGAATATCGATAACTATGAATTTGCGATTTAACATTTTATTTTTACAATTGATATCAAAAGAGTTTTTTCAATAATTATTAATGGTCAATGTGAAAGATCTTGCATATAAATTCTTGATTATATAAAAACAAAAATTTCTCGTGATTACATTTCCTTTCGCTGATTTTCTAGAACAAAATAGTCGTCACGCATACCATAAAGTATCATTAATAGATATCTATTCATCACAGAAAGATTTTTTTCTTGCTTGTAATATAGAGAAACCTGACTGAATTAAATAATATTTAATGATATAATACTGATCATTAAAAAAAAACAGAAGCATGTCACTATTCTATACGTTGTTTTTTTATTGCTACACATGAACATATTTATTATTGATTGACATCATTTTGCTTTTTGTATATCAAGGTTATCGTCCTTGAATGATTTTATCAGGAATAAAAATGTGAATAATATTCAGATTTCTTTCGATTAATGTATTTTTTTACATTATAATATAATATTCAAATGATATTCATAAGAATTTGTTTTATTTTAAATTTTTATTATAGGACAAAAAAAAAAAAGAAACAGGCATTGGAAAAATGATAAATTCAATCGAAATGATGAAGAAAATGGTTACTAGATGAAAATTTTTCAACAATGATAATTCAATTATTAAATATGATGAGAATAATAAAATCCAAGCGATATTTGAATTCAATAGGATATGTGTAAAAATAAAAATTTTGAGTGAAAAAATATTCATATTAGCTTTATAAATGAACATTGATAATTTGAACAATATTATATCAAGGTCAATCTCGACGAGATGGCCGAGCGGTTAAGGCGTTAGACTGCTAATCTAATGGGCTCTGCCTGCGTGAGTTCGAATCTCACTCTCGTCGCCATTCTTTTTTTTTTTAGTGATGTTGTTGCTTCAATGGTGCACACCGTATGTTATAAGTAATCATTCAAGTCTTTTTCTTTCTTATTCTATCGACATCATTGTTTGTTTTGTTCATGAATATTTGTGGAAAAAGTTTTTAAGCAAGTTTACCTATGAGATGTTTTTGAAGTTTTTTTTTTTACATTTTAAGAAGAGAAAAAGGATGAAAAGTTTAAATGTCTCAAAAAATGATGCTCTAATCTGAAAACTACTCTTTTCTTATACTAGTACCAAAGCTTAATTCAAAAAAAAGGACTCTGTCATGCTCTTTCAAACAAAAAAAAACATTAAATTTGTAGAATAAAGTTTTTTCGAGGATTTTGAGACGCACGATGAAAAATACATCAACAGGGATAAAGCAGAAAATGACACAAATTTTTGGAAAAAACGAAGTGCCGAATAAAAAAAACCACGTCATTTATGAAAGATACGATCTAGGTCTATCGTGTCATGCGTATATCTCAACATTGACTTTTTTGATGGGGCTTTAATAGATAAATCATCTGACTCGAATAAATTCGAGTTCTCTTGAAAGAAAAATTTTTCATTGTAATTTATTTCTGTATCTGTGTATGTATGATTTTAAGTTCTTCAAGTATTTTACTTATAAATATGAAGCAAAAACAAAGTTTCGTTTTTATAATCTTATTTCTGTCTATTCTTTTTTAATGTATTATTTGTGAACATTTCATATGAAATAATGATTGTATATCTTTCGATAATCTAAATATATATTTTTGTGATAACAAGCCAAGATAAGAAATTTTGAATAATTCAAGACGCAACATAAAGAAATTAAAACTCTGAAATGTATTTTAATTTTTATATTCAAAAAGTTAGAACACAGCGATGG